TTCCAAAGACTTGCTTGTCCCCCCCTCCTGCTGACTGAGGAATGTGTTGTCATGAGTATCCTGGTCCTACTCCAGGGTAGTAGTTATTGTTGGTGGTAGTTATTGTTACCACAATCCTTCCAACAGTGGGGAGTTTTTCATTCCCACTTTGTTGAATTGTGTTTCTAAGCTCTGGTAAAGAGATTTCTCTGAGAAGTGGCTGCAGTTCAATGGTGGATGAAATAATCTCTTTATATAAATTTGTTTGCGGACCTCGGGGAAAACCGACGTAATATAATTGTAAGAATATATTTAATATTAAGGTCGTTGTGAATTGTCTATTTATTTTTTTATTATTTTGAAATAATTTTCATTCTTTTTTTTGTCTGTTTCGTGGCAGTGGTTGAAGTTTGCCACGTGCAAAATCCATGGATTGGGATGGGGAGGGTGTTTAGGAAATCAGGAGTAGATTAGGAGGGTCAGTCTTACTGGTTTGGTGCTTTGACTTCTTGCAGAAGTAAAACCAATTGCAATCTTGCAAGAATTTGTAAAATATATCTGAAGATCATGTTTTAATTCCAAAGGAAGAGTCAAACCCATGGTGGTGGAGACCACATGGAAATCAGCACCTTTACATGTTCCTTTTCCTTTTACATCAGGGCAGAGACAAAGCATTTGTCAGGAGGAGACAATGGTTGTAGTTTCTGCTCTTCCATAAAACCACACCCTCGTTTGTACAGATTTAAAATAAGTCCTATCTACTTTTCAAATCCACAGTTTCCTGGATTAGGAAAAGGAACGTGAAGCCTCCCTTAAAAATCATAACTGTATGATTTGTTGGTATATGGATTTTTCTATTTACATCAGGGCAGAGACAAAGCATTTGTCAGGAGGAGACAATGGTTGTAGTTTCTGCTCTTCCATAAAACCACACCCTCGTTTGTACAGATTTAAAATAAGTCCTATCTACTTTTCAAATCCACAGTTTCCTGGATTAGGAAAAGGAACGTGAAGCCTCCCTTAAAAATCATAACTGTATGATTTGTTGGTATATGGATTTTTCTATTAAAAAAAAAAATACCAGTAGCTTGAAAAGCAGTATATATGTAAAGAGAAAATTTGTTAACTGATATGGGAAGATCTAACCCTGGGTCACCTGCAAATCTCTCAAACAAGAGCTCCAGGGCAAGTCCTAATTCCAGAGAGTAAAAGGGAAAATTAAAGCTGTAGCTGGTGACTCCTCCAAGTTACCTGAGGTGGATTCATTTGAGTTTCCTTGATTGTGCTGGTGAATAGGATGGGAAAGGGATGGTAGAGGTCTCCTCAGCCACTTCCCGGCCAAAGGATCTCCATGGAGACAGGAACAGAACCTGATGGGCTGTCAAAAGTTGCTTTTCATAACCAGAGGCTTTCATTAAATGGCAGATGAAGCAGGAGAGAAACTTTGGCATTTTTAACCAACCTTGGAAAAAAACCTTTTGGAGGGTGTGCTTTGTGGAGTGGTTTATCCAGATACCACTGATACTCCATGGCCTGGGAATCAGGCTGGGAATGGGAGGGATTTATTCATCATTTGCCCTCCTTCTGCAAACCAGAAACTGTCACGTGCAGCGAGTGAAAACTCAGCAGATACAATGCAGGTTCAAAAATATCAAATGGAAGATCTAGTTCTGCACATTTCAAATATTTCGCTTGCATGTGAGAAGCTCACAGGAGCTGCTGAGCAATGGGTGTTCCATGCTGAGCAGGGCAGGACTTAGGGATGTTCTTCTGTCGTGGCTCAGGGAGGGTGTTGGTGGTGAAAGGCTTGAAGTGACTTTTCTGAGATGAGAAAGGTCATGGAATGGTTCAGTTGGGAAAAGGCCTTAAAGCCCATCTTGTTCCACCCCCTGCCATGGGCAGGG